TTGGCAGTGGGAGACAAAGAATACCCTAGAAGGTCCAAACCCTAAACCCTAAACCCTAAACCCTAAACCCTAAACCCTCGGAGGTCTAGGCCCTAGGCCCTAGGTGGCGCGCCCGCAAACCCTGCGGGGTGCAGCTTTGACCCGAAACGCTAAACCCTAGGAGTTGCAGCTCTAAACCCTAAACCCTCGAAGATGCAGCTCCAAACCCTAAACCCTAAACCCTAGAAGGTGCAAACCCTAAACCCTCAACACTTCCCCAAATTTGACCCAACTCGAAACCCTAAGTCCTAGAGTGAAGAAACGCTGAGGCCTAAACCCTCGTCAAGCCCTAAACCCTAAACCCTCGCTCAAACCCTAGATTTTATAACCTCACTAAAGTTACTTTAAATCGTCAGCTTTGGCCTAAACCCTCGCCGAAACCCTAAACCCTTGCCTAAACCCTAAACCCTCGCCAAAACCCTAAACCCTAGGGTTTTAATTGCAAACACAGGCCTCCCAAGCTGCAGGCCTTCGTTCAAAACCCTAAACCCTAAACCCTAATATTTGAATTCTAATTCCTAATAAAACTGCAAACCCTCAGCCCTAAACAGAGCCCTCGCAGTGAGGCCAAACCCTCACCCAAACCCTAAACCCTAAACCCTCGATGAAACCCTAATTTCCTATTCACCAGGATTTGCAGTCTCGCAGCTCCCGCTTTCTGGACACAGGCTCTCTACAGTCGCGCTGAGGGTTAAGGGTTTAGGGTTTAGGGTTTAGGGTTTGGGGTTTAGGGTTTAGGGTTTAGGGTTTAGGGTTTGGGGTTTTTGCTGCAGGGTGGCGTTTGCGTGTCTGAACGAGGTGTATCTACAGTTCACGCAGAGCGTGCCGGCGAGCAAGTGGAGAAGTTTGGAAATAAAAAAAGAAAAAAATAATAAATCCAACAATCCAGAAATAGATTTTGGAGAAAAGATGCAAACTCTTTTGAAGAAGTACAAAGTCCGTCACTTCTTTTAGAATCTTTTGTTCTTTTTTCCACTTTCTAACTCCTTTTCTCTGCTGTATACGCTGTTTTAGGGTTTTGCATGCAAAACCCTTTTCCGCTTCTTCTGCTTCCCAGAAAGCCCTTTCGCGCTCAGGTGTACGTACACCCCGCCGCCAGCCCCAAAAGGCTTCGAGCTTTGCATGCGTTTTTGCATGCGTTTTTGCATGCGTTTTTGCATGCGTTTATTTTTTGCGAGTTTCCACTTTTTGGGAAATGTTTGCTCGGAAATTCCTTCAAAGGCTTTATTTCAAAGTCCAAAAAATCGGAAATGTCCTCAAAAGTGCAAATTGCCAGCTGCATGCAAGTGCATGCAAGTGCATGCAAAGTGCATGCAAGTGCATGCAAGTGCATGCAAAGTGCATGCAAGTGCATGCAAAGGTTTTGCTGGAGTTTGGGGCTGGGAGACCACTGGTCACCTCCAGTGGTCACTTTTGCAAAGTGGCCAAATGCATTATTTTCCACCAATAAATGGCATTTTCGGAGTCCTTTTTTAATCAGAAAAGGCATTTAATTCAATTTAATTCCTTTTTTGATCATTAAATTCAATTTAATTCTTTTTTTGATCATTAAATTCATTTATTTCCGAAAAATGTCTTTTTTTGGCTTTGAGAATTTTTTGGAATTACACCGCTGTGTGCTGCAGCTGCGGTGTACGTACACCTCACGGCGGCTGCGCAGTCATTCGTTCGGTCGATTCTGCTGCTTTATTTGACCACTTCATTTAATTAATTGATTTAAATAATTAATTTAATTATTTATTTCAATTAATTAATTCAATTAATGATTTAATTTCTTTTTTTCCCTTTCTGCAGAACCCCGCGCTCTCGGACCAGCTGGTTCAGGCTCAGCTCAAGGCAGACAGAGCACAAGTAAGTCCACAAACCCTAAACCCTAAACCCTAAACCCTAAACCCTAATTTTAGGCTGGAAGGGGACACGGCATCCGCTCTCCGGGTGCCCTGCCGGCAGCTCCTCGGGGGTTTAGGGTTTAGGGTTTAGGGTTCAGGGCGAAGCCGGGACTGGGCCCGAACGCCCGCGGCTGGCCCCCCGGCCTAGGGTTTAGGGTTTAGAGTTTAGGGTTTAGGGTTTAGGGTTTAGGGTTTAGGGTTTGGGCGCGCAGGAGGTGGTACGACAGACTGTTGTCTCAGTGCTGAGACAAGGAGAGAGTTTGCAGGAGTTAATAAACAAAAGCGAAGACCTTTCGGGTTAGCTGCAGCAAATAATTATTTTAAAATCAATTTTAAATTTAAATTAATTTAAATTTAAATTAATTTAAATTTATATTAATTTAAATTAATTTAAATTGATTTAAATTAATTTAAGTCTATTTATTCCTCCAAAGTGACGAGTGGGCGAGTTGCTGCTGCTGCTACACCTGCTGCTGCACCTGCTGCTACTGCTGCTGCACTTGCTGCTGCTGCACCTGGTTTGCTGCTGCCGCTGCTGCTGCTGCTGCTGCTGCAGTTGGCCTTTTTTCAGGGGCTGCAGCAGCAAATACAAATGTGAACATAAGTGCAAAAGGAAATAAAGCAAAAACAAAAAAGTTATTTTTTATTTTTATTTATTTGTATTTAATTGTTTTTAATTGCTTTTAACTGTTTTTAACGTGAAGATAAATGTATTTAAAGAAAGCAGCAAATATAAACTTTATTAAAATGAAAATAATTTAAATTTAAATGAACAAATGAAATCCATTTTTAAATGTAAAACAATTCAAATGCATTTACTTATACAAAGTTGATTCTAAAATGAAAATAATTCAAATTTAGAAAAATAAGTAAATATATTCGAAAATAAAAAATATTTCGATTTTAATTAAATAAATAAAATGGATTTAAAATTTAAAAATAATTTAAATTTAATTAATTAAATAAAATGAATTTTTAAATAAAAATAATTCGAATTTAATTAAATGTCTTTTTTGTCTCAGCGGGCTCTAAGCAGCTCTTCAAAAGTACAAACAAAGTGAAAAGCAGTTTTGGCTGCTGCAAAATGCAGTAAGTAGCAGCAGCAGCAGCAGCAGCAGCAGCAGCAGCAGCAGCAGGAACTGCAGCAGCAACAGCAGGAGCAGATGCTGCTGGAGCTGCAGCAGAAGCAAGAGCAGCAGCAGTTGCTGAAGCTGCCGCAGCAGCAAGAGCAGCAGCAGCAGCTGCTGCTGCTGCAAGAGCGGCAGTTGCTGAAGCTGCAGCAGCAGCAAGAGCAGCAGCAGCTGCTGCTGCCGCACAAGCAGCAAGAGCAGCAGCAGCTGCTGCTGCACTTAGTGCTCCTTCAATTTGTGCTTTTATCCAAAATGCATTAAAAGGACTTTTTAACTTTGGGGGATTTGTGTAGTTCCCGAAAAGTCCTTTTTGCTGCTGCATGCATATTTGCATGCAACTGCATGCACTTTTGCATGCAACTGCATGCATATTTGCATGCATGCATATTTGCATGCAACTGCATGCATATTTGCATGCATGCATATTTGCATGCATGCATATTTGCATGCAGTTGCATGCACTTTTGCATGCAACTGCATGCATATTTGCATGCAACTGCATGCACTTTTGCATGCAGTTTCCGTTCCCCCCAACGCAAATCCCCTGAAACTGCTCCTTTTCTCTCTTTATTTCTTTTATATTTGCATTCATTTGCATGCATTTGCATGCACATTTGCATGCATTTGCATGCATATTTGCATGCATATTTGCATGCATTTGCATGCATATTTGCATGCATATTTGCATGCATTTGCAATTAGTTGAAACCGCGGTCTTTTCCGCGCAGTTTGGGGTGTACGTACACCCGGTGTACGTACACCGGGTGTACGTACACCCGGGGCCTCCGCCGACGCGTTTTATAAAAATGTAAATTCTTTTATTTGTTAAATAAATTTAAATACTTTTAATTTGTTGAACATTAAATATAAATGGTTTTATAACTTATTTATATTTAAAACATAAGTATTGTTCGTATTACTTTTAATAAGTACAAATACTTAAATGCAAATAATAATTCCGCCCCGTCTATCCAAATTATTTATTTATTTCTTATAAATTATAAATAATTTTTTTATTTAATTATATTTACATTTATATTTGCATTTATAAACAAAAGTGTGAAGAGCCTCTGTGATCCTCTTAATGCCAATCTCTCTGGGGCCCCACCTCTCCAACTAAACCCTAAACCCTAAACCCTAAGCCGCCTAGTGCGTGCGCATAAGCCTGTAATTAATCTTTGTCTCCAGCTACTCTGCTGCAGCAGCTAGCTAATGCTCTGCTGCAGCTGCTGCTGCTGCTCTGCAGCAGCAGCTGCTGCTGCTCTGCAGCAGCAGCTGCTGCTGCTCTGCTGCTCTGTGTTAATTAGTTTTCTCGATAGTGGCTTTTCTGCTGCTTTTAAAAGCAAGCAAATCTCTGTGTCACTTTTCGAAGCGCCGGTTGCTGCTGCTGCTGCTGCAGCAGCAGCAGCAGCAGCAGCTGCAGCAGGGCGTTTGAAGGCGAATTTGCGCGTTCTCGCGCTGCTTTTTCGCGGGCCCGCGCGGCCGCCCCTGCTGCAGCAGCAGCAGCAGCAGCAGCAGCAGCAGCTAGTGCGCGGGGTTGCCGACGCGAATGCGGGAGCGCGCGAGCTGCTTCCGCGAAAGCCGCTGCTGCTGCTGCTCCCGCGGCCGCGGGACTTCCTTTTGCTGCTCCCGCACTATCACCTCGATGTGGCAGGGGCTGGACATGTAGGCATTAATGCGCCCGTGGGCCCTGTAGGTCCTGCGGCGGCCGCGGGGGGCCCTGCTGACAGCAATGTGCTCAATCACCAGGTTCTCCGTGTCCAAGTTCTGCTTCTGCAGCAGCAGCAGCAGCAGCAGCAGCAGCAGCAGCAGCAGCACACGCGCCGCAAAATTCCACGCAAACAGCAAAAAAAACGAAGCAAACACCACCCGGATATACCCCGCAGCAGCAGCAGCAGCAGCAGCAGCAGCAGCAGCAGCAGCAGCAGCAGCAGCAGCAGCA